AAACAACGCCGGGCAGCGGCCACAAGGGAGCGTGGACGCAATTCTACCGAAAGCTCGTCAATTAGAATAAAGTGAAAAAGATCACTTTGACTTCGAGTAGTATCATAATGTAAAATAACGGCGCTAGTGTGGCGCACGGTCAGACGCAGAGAACGGCTCTGTCATAAACAAATTTACTTGAATTTGCAACAATCCTACTGTTCCCACGAAACATTCTTCAGAAAGGGACTGATCAAATTTATCTTAAGAAACGGATCAGTGCCATCATCTTCCCCGAAGTTTCCTAATAAGATAACTAGCTCGGTTACAATGAACTAAATTATAGACGAAGGATAAATCGGTCGTCGAGGTACTAAGGACGTTAATTACAACCTTCTACAAAGCATTATAATTATCAGATCTTTTCAGTTGGGTAATCTGATTATACACTTTCGGGTCGTAGTTTAGCAGATCGAAATTGAACAATTAAGTGAGCGATGGCACTTAGTGTTTCAATTACTCAATTATTTTTGGGGTTGTTGAAGCGAATGTGAGGCATTTCGCTAGAATCACGCATATTGCACCAGATTACGTTCATATATCTGCGGGCAATCTGAGTCCAAACGACTTTAAACAGCCGAATTACTCATGTTAATTGCATAGAATTAACCAGCATTGGAGCGTTTACGCTATGACCTGTTGTAGTAATTTCGCTTTATTTGTTTCATGTTCTGGTTTACGTTTCAATTGATAAACAGCGCTATTGAATTATACGCTTATTACACATAGAGTGTTACGTGAAGGGTGACAATTCATTAAAGGTATTACGCGACATTATTTATGGCGTTCTGAATAAGTCTGTAAGAAAGGAGTGAACACGAATGGTGGAAAACCATCAATTAGGTTGCGGTTTTCATTTATATACCGTGATTTTCTGATTTAAAGCTTTCTCATTTATTGCCATTTTTTTTATTATGTACCAAGAGCTACTCAGAGATTATATTTTCATTTGCTCCCTTACAGATTTTTTACGAGTACCTATACATATTTAGCTATATCACAGAAACTCGAATCGTAAACTTTTTTACTCTCAGAAGATTTTTTGAAAATCTGGTAGGAGTTATCTAGAAATGTCTCATTTTAACACTGTATGCTGGGAAATGTAGTATTTTGCAAGTGCCTCCCCTGTATTTTGATGTACCATATTAGTCTAGGCGATAAAGTCATCTAACTGGACATTTTGAGGTGGAAAAGAAAAAAATGGTGGAATATGTTCAGTTAGGTGTCAGAAACAACATATTAAAAATCCCACCCCCCAGACCCTGTGTTAAAGTCACCTTTCACCTACAACTTTCATGTGTGAGGAAATATTCATTGTAAAACAAAGTATTTCTATGTACCATTTATTCACGTATAAACAGTATTTTCATATTAAAATATTCACACATTCATTTATACCTTAAGACCTAAAGAACAAGATTCCTTTACGTGCTCTAAAATGTCGTTCTCTATTCGGATGCAATTAAACTGCAGTTCTAAAAATGTTATCGAATCGGATGCTTAATGCCTGAGCCCGATACAAGTTCATCCGACGCGATAGATTTTTTAGAACTGCAGTTTAATTGCATCAGGTAGGCGTGAACAACATTACTGTAAACAAAACTGGATGCAAGCGAAATTCAAATTAATTAACATTCTTTGACGTAGGCGATACGACCTAGAATCGCTTAACCGTTGCGGTACCGTATTTTATTCATTCTTATTCTGCACGTCAACAATAACGCGATGCAGTTTGTTTAATAGAATTGTTAATGTTTAATCGACGACGTGAGGTAAAAAAAAGTTAACTCTGCATTTAGTGGAGTGAATTATATATCGGAATAGTAATAACGGATCGACTCTAGTTCATTTAATGGAACTCGTGTATAGATTACGGTTCCAAAATCATACCCGCAATAACCACTTGATTTTTTCATGTTCGAATCTCTCTCTGAGAACGAATTAAATTTTTGACTACGTACTACTTGCTCTGGTAGCCCAGATCAGAATTAATTTCCCGTTTTGTGCTCGAAACAAAAATAATATAATTTGAACCACGTACTAAACGATCTCGTAACCCAAGAACGAATGCCTCTCGAAAAAATCCCGGAAGGATCCCTCCTACCCTTTGTAACTAACGAAAGCGTTTTTTAAGATTGCGTCCCGTAATTAAAATGAACCATATTTTTTTAATGGCAAATTTAATTGGCTGTACCGTCCGGAGTTCATGAGGTTTAGGCTGTTCTTAAAACACCCTCACACGGGAATTCTTGTACCACTAACATGTAGGCTTGATTTTATGTCCGCACCTTTGGTTATATGAGCCCCAATTAAGATAGATAAATACTCTGTTATCTCCGACTTAATATCGCCACGGTTTCCGAACGCAGAACAAAATATGATTGCTAATTCCACCAATCGTACAATGAGATGAGTTTACGCGTGAAGGTCGGATCCCATTATAAAAAGTCGAGTAAGTAAAAGACGCGCTAAAAGATTAAAAATATTATATCTCAGTTATATGGGAAGTTGAGCACAGAAAATTTCAAGATATTTGGGTTTTTGATACAATATGCAAATACCATCTACATCTTTTTGCATAAGTTAGCGAAGCAGCCCCATTTCATGTCCAATTAATCGTTTATTAATCGAAATTGGTTTGGCTATTACATTTGAACGTAATTGAAACTCGTTCTACGACGGGGGTAGCGCTTGAAGATAGTATTAATATTTATAGCAGACACTTGACTCTAAATATATTGCGTTTCCGAATTGCGCTAATTATCATGTAGGTCAGAACAAATGAACCTCAATTCAATTGCGGAGTAAATGCCCTATGAATATTGATTCTCTAATTCTAAGCATCTGGTTCTGGAAATCCGTCTCTATTTGATTAGACAGCGCCACACTTTATCTAAATTAATTACGGTTTATAAGATATACCCACCTGAAATATCAACATTGAATGGCGTCTTGTAACATAAAACTTGAATGCGGATAGCATTAGGGGGTTGGTGAAAGGATTAGACGCTCCCTTGAGGGAAAAATTACAAGCTTAGTTTGGGATGGAAATGGGAAGCGCGTGTCTAAAGTAAAAAGGGCGAGAGGGCGATCTCTTTTTCGATCCGATGCATATAGAGCGTCGAAATAATATTAACAAAATGTATAAATTGTATTCATCCAGTGAATGGTATATAAAGGTAAAGGGAGCGACATAAAATTTCCACATGAAATGGACGATTCAGAGATGCCGCTGATGCTGTCCTCGCCGAAGACGTCGACTACGTAGTTATTACCAATCGTCCAGTTTATATACGACATAAAAATGCGATAAACTCTGCTTATTTCCAGTTCAACTCTTCCGCAAACTTAAGAAAAATAAATCGCAAGGTCGGTAACGGTTCAAATTCTTAAAAGAGTAATATTTCAGATCAAACTTTTCGAACATTTTCTTCTTCTCCTTCACTATCTTTATTTACTTGCAAAATTTTTCACTATGTACGCCATTGCGCTTACTTGTTTGATTTAAATCAATTGTGCTCGGAAACTTGAACGTATTTAACTTGGAAAATTTCAGTATTTATAACCTGAGGGTTGAATTGACACTTTTTTATCGACATGTACGGCCGGAATTTTGCATTAGGTATAAAAGAAAGTAACCTTTTTGCAAATGAACAATAAATAATAGTGTATAGGTACAACAATTCGTCGGCACTGTCTGCTGTTGGCATGTTTCATAACATGAAATGCAAATTCAGATTTCTATTCGCCAATCTTTGATTATACGGTTTTGGCGAAGTTTCCTTGTGTAAGGTTCTCATGAAGTTTACATTAATTTTGCGGTGTGTGATTGACGTGAGCTTTTAATTTTAGCGCACATTCCACCTTCAAAATTGGTTTTTCTAAATTTCGTTTTGTCAATACTTTTCCAAAAGAAATACACTCACTTGATTTCAGTAAGACGAGGGCAGCATGTGCCATGAAATTTGTTCTGCTCTTGCAATTTCGTGATCAAGTTGAGACTCCACTTTGGCGCGAGATTAAGTAGGACAGAAACAAGAAAGAAAGTTTATTTTTTCCAAGCACAAAAAAAACAATAAAGAAATAAAAATAATACATTCAAATTGACAAAAATGACAAGTCTATACGTTACAAAAATCATGCGCATAATTTATTCAGATTTCTAAGTTATTAAAAAATGAGTACACGAAACTTAATGGTTAGTTATTATACAAGACGATAAAAGGATGTTTTACCTTTATCGTCGTGTATTATACAAAAATTTATTTTATAACAGAATAAGCCCTAGAAATCATTATAAAACTTCTGAAAATTCTGTAGGTATTCTATTTCGTGCTCGGCGTTCCATTTTTAAAAAGAATGACACATGTCATTGGAATGCACAATTATTTTTTCACTTTATCTACCTCTACTGTTAAAGAGACACATAGCCTACTCGTTCAAACCTCTTAAAATGTCAATTTATAATAATAATAATAGCTCTGCGTTAAAACATCTGACAACTTTTAACAGGATAATTGGTTATGGGCTACTTAATTTAGGCCGCCCCTAACTAGAACGTCTCTCTTCAACAAATAGTGCCTCCACAGAGCACGTTTGTGCATTGTAAGAGTTTATGGTTTTAATCCAAAGTATAGCTTTGTCTGGATCGAGCTTGCTGTGTTTCTATACAAACTTTCTTAGAAATGGAGACGTTTAATTAAAAGGAATCTATGAAATTTCTGTTTTGAGCACGTGTTAACGTCATATGTACGCGCGCGATAAAATTTTTACAAATAGGTACTTTTGATTGACAGTTTAACGAGCTCGAACGGCGCCTTAATAAACGAGTAAATTACATTTTAGAATGTTACGGTCGCTTAGTAAATTACATTCGCGAAGTGCTCAGAGACCCTTTGCCACTAAATCAAAGATTACTTCCTTATTAAACATTATATATCTAATATATTTTCTGTCTTTAGCAGGAACCCGGGAAGGCAGCGCCTCGCCGAAATATCCCGTTGTTGTATTTATCCACGGGGAGAGCTACGAATGGAATTCGGGAAATCCCTATGATGGCAGCGTGCTGGCAAGTTACGGGGGTATCGTCGTCGTGACGGTTAACTACCGACTTGGAATCTTAGGTGAGCTTTTTTCGTTTTTTACATACGACCTCCTCTTTTGATAAAAGTTCTGGAGGCGTATGAATATAAAAGCAGTTTGAGGTGCACCCCGACAATATACAAAGTTTTAATCACTCCCAAGCTTATTCAAATAGCAAAACTACCTTCCGCTTTGTGTTACGTAACAATCGCAAACGCTTTAGATGAAAATTTAAGCGGGAAAGCGTACAGGAAGCTGCGAATAAACGCAAAACCGGCTACATTCATATCGTATTAATTTCGAGTTACGCTTCGAGTGACTTCTTTGCCAAAGGGGGCACCTTCGGTTATTTATATTGTTTAATCTCACACCTCGAGCAGAGGAGCACATATAATTATTACCTACACGTTTAGGTACAATAAATTTATTGACGTCAGCGGGGTTACTACAGTATTAATCAACGTTGGTAATAAATGGGCAACATCAAACATGGGTAGCCATGTTAGATAAATAATTGTTTAATTCTCCAGCTATTATCATTTAAACGAGCTGTGCTTCAACTCTAACTGACGACAGCTTATTTGCATACAATTTATATGAGCAATGCATGATGCTACTAAAGCAAGCTGTGAGATGTGGCTAATTCCCTTTGAAGTGATTTTGGTACAATTATCCACGCCTTTCTCCCAGAGCAGAAAGCATCTCTATTTTGAGGTATAACGCGATTACCTTATTTCCTATAATTTCGAGGGCAAAGATATGCGGGGTTGTCGTTGGGATGGACACTTGTGAATTGGGGTAGATTTTTCGCAGTGAGGAATGCGGTGTCCTCATGTGTAATTGGTGAAATTTCACTTGAGGCAGGGGAATTTTTCGAACGAAATTCTCGTTACATGATGGATTTGTCCGCCCGTCTGTTTCTCCATCTGATGTAACAGAAACGTCAAACTTAACGTGTAGGTTATCTACCGAAAAACGTTAATTTGTGTTATTTAGTATAGGCAAAATGACATTTTGAACAGATCATGAAAATCTGTACCGAAAATACAATATTTTAAACTTATTTTAATCCTTTTAGATCCTCTGCTGAAAATTTTACCTTCAATATTTTACAGATCAACATTTTTTTGACAATTCTTAAAGCTATTATATAAAAAACTTGGCGAAATACTACTAACCTTCTTCTCGTTCATGGACGCGAAAGAAAGTCTTACTTCTAATTGGTGCTCGTCAATTTGGGGTTGATATCAGATGATTTCTAAAAGACTGCATTCTTAAACCCTCCGGTATGGTCATTTTTCGACAACAATTGTTTGGGTGGAATGTGAAGATTGAATAGATATTACACGCCTGTTTCCAAAGCTGGTTTATTCGTTGGTTATTGAAACCTGCGTCAAATTGCTGACCCATTCACATTTACGTAACTTGATTACTGTTCAAACCGGAACCTTCATAGTGTTCGTGAAGGCAAAAAACCAAGCGACTAAACACCTTATGAGACGGTGGTTGTCTGTTGGATAGTAGGTACGGACATAAGAAATTGGCGTAATAGTATAACGTAAATTTAATTACGTCGATTACTTAATAATTGGATTTATAACAGTAAAATATTATTTATCACTCACGAATACACAATTTATCACAGCGCGAACCATTTATCACTTCGGCATCGAAATTAGAACTTTTACACGTGACATGCTTACCCACATAGCATTCTATATCTTATGTATATACATTTTAAATCCATAATGTACAGGGAATATCCTGTCCATCTTATGTATATACTATGTATATTCATTATATTACATTTTGGATGTGCTATGTATATACATGGGATTATATGTTATGTATATGCGTTTTGGATTTGATACATGCTTGTTCTGTATTACCGACGTTACAAACGTTAGCGTCTCATTTTCTGTGAATTACGGCGATGAAGATAGTAAGGTGCTATTGCAAATACAGCTCATTTTTCTAAAATCAGGAGTGTTATTCTGCGAGTTATTAATGAATTTGTTTGTCTAATTTTGACAGTGAAAGTAATGATTTTTATTTCGTGTGTGCATGATCTAAAGTTGCAAATATGTGTTAGTGAGATGTAAAGACTGGATGGGAATTAATATAAGGACAAGATTGGCAGGTAGGTATGTTAGCAACCTATTTGTTATGAACTCGCGCTAATTATAGTGTTGAACAAGAACACGATCAAAATGACTCAAGACTACAGTGTTAAATAAAACAATAATAATTTCTTAAGCACATTTTCCATTGTATACTAAGAGACTTAATAAACAAAAAGCTCCACTCCGTGAAAAGAATTTATTTATGAAGGTATAGACCAGAGCTGGGCAGAATACTTTCAAAAAGTATTTGAATACTAAATACTTTTACGTCCAGCACAAACGAATACTAGATACAGATACATTGAAAAGTATTCAAATACCTTAAAAAATAAGTATTCAAATACTTTAGACTGTATTCGAATACTTTCAAAAGTATTCTAATACTACCAAAGGTATTCGAATACTATAAAAAGTATTCAAACACTTGTGACTCAAATACATTAAAAATGTAAAATAGTATACCTACTAGATAAAATTCTTAATAGTACTTAAAAAATCAAGTTATACTTTGTATGGGGTTTGCTTTTTTTATATTCCTATTGTTATATACAAATTTAAGGGGAGTAAAAGTAATAATTTCAAACAGTTCCAAGATTGGGCTACTAGTTCAAAAGTTACAGCCCTTTGAATTTTCTTTCGAAATTGGTTTCTAGTCTATAACTTTTGATTGAGAAGTCTGATCGAAAAAGTACGAATTGATTTGGATTCTACGCACCAAAATTAATAAGAAAAAGTGTTTTCCCGAGAAATTTTGGTGTAGTCGATTTTTGGTAAAAAAGGAAGGTTGTACACTGCCTTTTTTTGAGGCCCGAAAAAAAAATTGTCTCAGATCGACCCGGAAAAAAAATTTCTTATAGAATGTGGCCTGTAGAATCCATAATTTCAAACAGTTCCAAGATTGGGCTACTAGTTCAAAAGTTACAGCCCTTTGAATTTTCTTTCGAAATTGGTTTCTAGTCTATAACTTTTGATTGAGAAGTCTGAACGAAAAAGTACGAATTGATTTGAATTCTACGCGCCAAAATTAATAAGAAAAAGTGTTTTCCCGAGAAATTTTGGTGTAGTCGATTTTTGGTAAAAAAGGAAGGAATTGAACACTCTCCCCCACTCTGCAACACGCAACATACAAAAAATTGGAAAAAAGAGCAACAAATTAAGTTCCGCTAAAGTTACGATTCAGTTGTTTGAGAGATGGTTAGCGATTACTCGTAAATTACTTCAAATGGCATAAAATTTGTAACGGGAACGGTTAAAACTTGCAAAGTAGGTTGAATGTGGTTTTAAAGTTTTCACTTGCCTAAAAGTTTCAAGACCGTGTTATTATCTGATATGCCCTTTTAAGAACCACGCACTTTCTGTCTAGCGCATATGAGAGTTTTTAAAGATATATGGGTATGTTTTTCCTATGAGGGAAATATTGCCTGAAAACTTTGCGAATGAAACATCAAAAACAAACTTTCTCGTTTACTCTTAAAAATGGAGATTCGCCCCTCTTATTTTCTCATTCATCTCCCACACATCACATGCGATCTCGTTAATTTCTTTTTTTTTTACATATTTAAGACTTTTTTGCGTTACATATTCATGTTACTCAGATTTCTCCCGAGATTGCAGTTCCAATTTCTTACGGTGGACTACACGGCTCTATTTACTTTAGTAATTAATCTGCACCAAAACTTTTCCTCTCGTTTCGTTTTTGTTTATTTTATAAATTAATTGGTTTCGCAACTGACGCACAACTTTTCCCATACCTTCCACATAAACTGTTATTTACCATTTAATTAGTGTCTCTTTTGCTTTTAAATTATATAAATTAATTACAGTAACGATTTCTGCTGCGGGCGCCATCTTTCCCGAACAGGGAAATCATTATATTCGGTCAAGTAAATTATGCAAATTTCCCTCTAAAACATTAATCAAACCGGGAGAACCCTTCTTGAGGATGATAATGCAGACGGATCAATTAAGAATATTATTTCCGTTTTATGCAAAGTAGCCAATCGATAGTGGAGCGTCCCTTCTAAGGACTTCACTAAGTGAAGCATTTCGCCGGCAAGAACTCCATTAACTTCAATTGGCTTATAACGCTAGAAATTCGTGCAAACGTTACGAAGGCAAATAGACCAAAACAAACAAATGTAAATCGTCAATTTTACATAATCTTCGAAAGTTTGCGAGACCTGAATTAATCGGAACGCTAAGGCAATCTAATTTGGTTTGGTCAAATGAAAATTTCGTCACCCTTATAGTTCCTTTTTGGCTAAACGCCAACTCGTTCGAGTATCAATTCGACCCTTTTCGTGTTTCTGAATAGAACAATGCAGTTATAATATTTATTACGTAAAAGTTTAATTTATGAAATTCGTTATTAAATTCTCCTTTTGTTTTAACTTTTTAGAATTTCGAGCGCACACGTTTTCTCGTTACATTTTTATTAGTAATTTTTACCGGACGCGGGAATAATGTAAAACTCTGTTCGAGGAATAGGATAATAATTCAAAGACGCGCGAAATTATTAATCAATCACACTTAACTTAGCAGCCAGTTAATGTGAGCATCCATTAGATTGACGGACACGTTTCTGAAGTGCATTAATGACAAATCCAGTCGAGAGCATCCTTGTGAAATACCACAGCAGCACTAATAGCAGCAATTATATGGTTGAAATTTAAACAGATGAAGAATATTCTCTTCATCTCTTTGTCTGCTGATGTAATTGTAATTTTCATTCGCCAAAATTAACTTAAAGCCTTTTTGTGGTAGGGCCGATTAAAGTGAAACCTACCTACGATGAAATTGTAGCAATTAAAAATATGCCATAGAAACAAAATATACTAATCTACGTAAAATAATGACTCTCCAGATCAAATGAATATAGAGCACTAAGGGCCAATTGCACCGTTCAAATTAAGTATCCG